GCCCCTGAACAGAACAAATCCAAGCAGAAGACACCTGAACCAGAGCCGTCTCAGCAGCAGGATAAGACTGTTCAGGAACAGCACAATCCACAATTGTCTGACCAAGGTCGTCAGGCATCCGATCCTCGCACTGTCGTCCAATTTAGCTCACAGAAGTTGACTAAAGACTCAGTGCGAGGACTGGCTAAGCGCCCTGCCAAGAAGGCAAGGAGGATTGGCAGTATGACGGGCTTGTTATCTGGACAGACACCCGTCGGGAGTAGGCAGAGGGTGGCTTTCAAGACCCCACGGTCAGAGATTTTGAGGATGATCAAGAACGTTGAGTAGTCGAGGAATATAATCACAAATTGGGCTTGAGAATAACTTTATATGTACATGATGTAGTGAATTGATGTGAATCTGTCCTTGACATAGCAGGTAAGTGTCTTGATGTATTTTACAAGACCTGCTTAGATTTCGATCACATCGCGTAAATAACTGCCTGAACAAGATGTCATTAATGCTACATAGCTGTGCATTTATACTAACTCGAACCAATAACTACAGCAGCATGCAGGCCCATCCATATCACATCTACAGTGTATATCGGACTTCCACTGCCTGTAAAAGTTAGCTTAAAACTTAACACATCAGCGCAGTAAGTCTAAACCTTTAGACCGGCGTTGATAATGACTATCGATTTGTCGTTGAAGTATTGCAGTGGCGAAGGGTTAAAATTAGGAAGGCTCAAGACAAAGCTATACTTTCACCAAAGTCCGCTGTTCTTTTATAAAAGAACAGNNAGAATAGTAGACTTTTGTAAAAGAATAGCTAACTTTAATAAAGCATTTATAGAGTATATTCTATAAGCCTATAATATAGTAATAGGTTATAGTTATACTTAAACTAAGTTAATAATACTATTTCTTTATTACTTATTACTATTTATAAAAAATAATTTAAAAAAAAACTTTAACTTTTTTTTTATAATTTAATTTAAAATAATAATAAATAAGTAATACATAATAAAACTATTTTTAATATCCTTACTTTATATTTCTTTATAGTATTATAGTAATTTAAATAGTAAAAAAATAAAATATTATATTAAACTAGTAAGCTCTCTTTAGCAGAGAATTAATCTTTAAATACCCCATTAACACATTATACATTATCAATAAGGCACAACCCCAAACCAGTCTCGTCGGTTATAATATTCTGAATGTCCAGCATTAGCTGCCAGAACTCCAGGGCCTCTCGTTTATCCTTCAAGTTGCGCTTCACATTTTGCACAATAGAAGAGATGTCAGAAAGGACCCGATCAAAGTCTACACCAGAGGGGAGATTTTGAACTTCGTCTTCACAACGTTTCAAGATTTCCTTCAGGTGTACCATTTCGCCTGAAACCTGGTCTAGATGACGGAGGAATCTTTTGCGCAGATCAACCTCATCAATACTTTCTTTCAGATTCCTGATCAATACCTGAGTACTGCATACGATGTACTTGATGTTTTCTTTCAGGCCTGCATCGGTTGGCACGCTTTGGAGTCCTGCCCCTCCTGTCTCTACAGCATTGAATCCGTGCTGATAGATGAGGGAGCCAGCGATTGTACAGACTAGCTGCTCTGCCTTGGGAAGTTGTTCCTTTCTGAGAATTCTTAGAACGCACCCAGTTACAAGCTCTGGTCCTTTGTTATGCTTTCTGAGAATGCAAACGGTAAGACCAAGGGGCTTGTTGATGTTTCTGACGTTACGGTTCTTGTATACGCCCATTCGCTTGTTCAGATCCTTAGAGCACCCAACATATAAGGGGCTCTGTGATATGTTTACTCGCCCCGTTGGATCAAGACTCCTATCACACATACCCTCGAATGTCTTGATAAGTGCCCTGATCCTAGGAACTTCTTCAGTCTTCTCAATGAACATCGGACCGGCGTTCTGGCCTCTCGATGATCCACTGTGACTCTCAATAGCGTTGACCATGCTGATGGCCCTGCTCTCCGCCGTCGTCATGTTGGGGGAAGCCCACGTACCATGTCTAGCATAGGCTTCGTACCCTTCGACGTACAGCTTCATGTCACGAATCAGGACATCTAATTCGTTGATGTTCAAGAATTGGCCCCCGTGACCCCTCGTCGTTATACCGACAACGTAAACCCCGGGAGTCTTTTCGTCGTGCAGCGCTGAGGGCAGACGAAACGTGTCAATGTTACCATTCGTCAAGTCAAAGGCAAAGGTATTTTTGACAATGCTCTGCACTACCTCAACCGACATGCTGTGCAACAATTCACACATGGTCCAGCCATAGTGGCGCAGAGCGTTAACAGTCGAGAAAACTGGAAAGTCGTTCTCCTTCATGGTTTGATTGTCATCAAGGACATCAGCCAGTTTACTGAGCTGTAGGAAGAGCTCAAGCAGCGATTTGTACCTTGCACAGGCGTCAATCAAGCTGCAATGTCCCTCGTCCCAAAGCATTGGCATTTCTGCACTACGCTCGGCGGGGGGAGGAACATTGGCCTCAGGGTATCCCTGGAGTTCTGTGTCTCGAGTAGAGTCCATATTGTTTGATGATGTGTGTCTGGAAATCTCAGTGTGCAACTGGAGGGAAGGAGGAACAAGACCTGAACCTCAGGCAGTCAGGTGCAATCACGTGGTCACTCTCTCCTCTGGTGTGAATGATTACGAGGATAAAAGATCAGTACGTATGAACAAAATTGACCTGCGAGTTTCAGTCTACATGTTTAGTTTAATGTCTAATTATCGTGGAGTGTTTGAAGTGATTTACTGCGATACAAAGAACAGGTTGAGTTACGGCTACACTACCTTCAGGTTGCGTGATCATCAATTCGACGGCATTGACCACGATAAGTGCAGATGAAATGAACATAAAAGATTGAATTGCATAAAGTAGTGCTTCAATACTGCATGTTCTTGTACACCCCCTCAAAACTCCAAATATGCGCCCACGAGTTTGCCCTTCCATCACCAAGTAAATCCCGCTGCCGTTCCGTCACCCAGCATATGGTCGAAGCATATCTACCAAGAGACAAGATGAGAGACCCTTCCTCTACCTACTTGGTAATCATGAATTTTAGGCCAGGGCGCCCCAGCAAGTAATCCACCGTAACCAGTAGACAGTCCTCATGGTGGCTACATTTGTCACCATTCGCCCTGCCATCGCTATCCCCCCTCACAATTTTCTCATAGCAAAACCAGTCTTGGGAATCTGTCTGCAGAAATTCCAATAGACTTTCCTTCCAATTGTATGAATCAATCAACGAGATGAGCTCTGATGCCAGTTGCGACATGCCGAGCTCACTGTTGGTGTCGGTGATAATTGGGATATCGCGAAGCTCATCCGCAGCCCGATAGAAAACCCTGGAGACTTCTCCAGCTGCTCCCTCAGGTATTCTGACAGATTGAGCTTGCAAGCTCGAGAGCGCTTCATTGAGGGTGTCGCGCTCCTGCTCTAGCATTGAGATGGTGCCCATGTAGGTCTCGAGCTGCTTCGATGCAGACTCACTGGACTTTTGAAGCCGCCCCTTCTCAGCTTTCACAGCCTCAAGTTCATTTTCTGAAACATTGGCCGTCTCCTCAAGCTCAGCAACTCTACCTTGAGAGTTCCGCAAGTTTGACTTGGTCGCCTCCAAAGTGAGGCTCATTTGATGCAAGTTTTCATTTGCCATACGAAGCTCAATTTGGAGGGGTTCGAGTGTAGAGACTTTGGACTGAAGTGTCTTGACTTTCTGTTCGAGATTCTCAATAAGAGAAACCTTGGCCGAGATCTCACCTTGAAGGGCTTGCTTCTCAGAAGACCACGAGCGGCTCAACCGACCAACAGTTTCTTCATGGGATTTCTTTTCAGATAAGTGTTCCTTCATCGCTTCGCTTACAGCCGCCCATTGATCCTTCAATTGTTTTTGAAGATCAACTGTCTGCTGTGATCGAAGCTCTTTCAGCTCCTTTTGAACCTTCGAGATGTCATCCTCCAGCTTTTCTTTCTGGTGATTGATATCTCTACGGTCCGTCGAAGCCTTTGTCAGTTCGGCGGAGCAACGGTCATGGGCCGTCTTCTCACGTTCCAATTGGCTTTTGAGACTGTCTACCTGTCGTTCCGTCTCGTTGACAGTCTGCTGTGCCTGCTGTAGACTGAGTTTGATCACGGCGAGTTCTCGGCTACGAGCCTCAGCTGTTTGAAGTACAGGCTGTGCATCTTCGAGCTGTCGCCTGGCTTCTCTACTTCGAGAGACCTCTTGATTTGCCTCCATCAGGCGGTCCCTCAAATCGTCATTGGCTTTCTGGAGGCCATCGATCTTGGAGTCCCTTTTCTTGACATCATTGTCAAACTCCTCAAGTGCATCCTTAGCCCGATCTGAGAGATTCTGGGCGGAGTTTCTTTCAGTAGTCAAGGTCCCATTTTGGTTCCTCAGTTCCTGGTTTTTCTGGACTAGCTCATTCACACTGGCCCGGGCTGTTCGAAGCTGCTCAGCAAGACCTCCGACTTGAGCAAGTCTTGTATCTATGGACTCCCTAGTAGGCAGCCCTTCAACTAACCCCTTGATGGTGTTGGTAAGGTCGACAAG